CTCGTCCATTACGTCGCGTAACCACGAACCTATGCGATTGTGGTACGTGGTAATCCATTCTTTTTAATCTTCATTCCCTTGGATACTTTCCTATCCGTTTTTCATCACCAGCTGTGCCTCTCGTCCGTACGGGTAATGACGACGTTATGGACGGGCGTGCGCTTCGGGAGGTAGGTTCTTCTGCGGGGTCTGTCATGGCCCTAGACACATCACGAAGGTCGTCATGCGAGGAGCGACCATGTTGACTGCTCCGTTGGCTTAGTCCATCGTTCCTGCCTGGGACCGGTTGTTAAGTTCCTCCCGGGCCCCGACTTGTGAGGATGTAGTTAGGCGCCCGAGTGCTTTCCTGCGGACCGGTTTGACTTGTCCTACCGTGCGTAGTATGCCCATGGTGAACAGGTTGCTTCCTATATTCAGCAGGTCTGGTGGTGCGAGATGACCGGCTTTCGGAGTTGAAAGGGTCGTCACTGCCGTACCCGCCGCCAACACGAGGCGATACATGGCTTCTTGTTTGAGGTTCTTCGGACAGTTGACTGCTCGTACTTCCTCGAGTATCTTGGGAGAGATGGCTATGCTGCTGTTTTCTGTCCCTCTGGCCCGATGGAGGCGACTGGGGCATGGCCTCGCTTTGCTCCCGTCGCGGCCCTTGTAGGCTTTCAGCGATATTTTGAGGAAGCTTAGTTCGAGAGGAGACGATTGTTTGACTGCTCCCAAAAGGGCTGAGTTCTCGGCCATCTACTTCCACGGCGCTCTGCCGACTTTGTGTGTGTGCAGTTGGGTTGTCCCGGGTCGTGACGAATAGTTTCTGCACGGTTAGACATGTCAAACTTACGAGGGCAGCTAGGGGACTTACGATGGTAATCCGTATCCCATAGGCGACTGACCAGCAGAATAACTGGAGCCTGATGGAAGTCCTGGCGCTCCTGCTGATGAGAAAGTTGGCTGCGATCCTGGAGGTCGACTGGCTGTTGAGGCGCGAGAAGGCGGTGCGTTTTCGGAGCAGGGACGACCTGAGTCTTCCTCGTCTTGAATTTTCTGCTGCAGTCGCTCAATGATTGCCTTGTGATGTTATCCTGGGCCTAAAGTCCATGGATTGGACTGTTAATATGTTCTTGACAGCTAACCTGCATGGGATAATTGCCTCTTCAGGTCCGAATTAACCAACCTCGTTGGCCGTTCTAGACGAATGAGTCGGCGTCATAGAGAAGCAATGGGCGTGAACCCACTAATTCCTGTTCCCATATCTGGGCGTCTTTCCCGACAAGCGCCCCCTTCAGATCCTCAAGGACTTCGTAATCACCTAGGCCGTTCACCTTGGGATCCGCATTAGTTCCTGCGGTGCGCTTTTCCGATATTGATCACGGGTCTCAGGAGATTTGCCGTCACGGACATCACTGTCAGAGCAGAAGTGTTGACGGTCTCGATCGTAATAACCCTCGGCGCATCACAGGACGCCAGATTAAGGTCGTCGCCGAACTCATGGAGGAGCTTGCAACCGCTGGGGCAGTTAATCGGGACCCCGCACGGTTCGGGCCACGCCGTTGCTTGTCGCTCGATCGCCAGTCCGCCATGCTCGTATACAGGCCGGTAAAGGGAGATTCACAGGATAATAAATATGTATAGGTTCAGCGAAAGTCTGTCCTCTCTGGATAAGTCTGCAGGAGACGAAGTAGCAACCCTCCGCTGTGCGCGAATGAACAGAGCTGTTAAGAGTCGGCGCCGTGCCGCAATCGACAAAGACGCGAATGAGGCTCTCAATCCCCGAGTCATGCAAGTTGGCATTGGCGATTAGAGCATGTCACGCCCCTGGCACGCGTCGTCGGGCAGCACTCATCATGCCGTGAGCTAACCAGGGTGAGGACCAGAGACGTTCTGCCTTGCCACCTATGCATCCAGTCCACTATGCAGAAGCATTCGAAATACGAGACAGAAGTAGACCGTGCTGCACAGCCAACGCCCTTAGACGTGCTCGTATCAATATTGGTCGCCCTGCTGTGCAGACAAAGAGATCGAACTCAGCATGCAGGCTGGAAGTGCAAAAGAGCCTCCTAAATCAGCATAAAGGGTATGGAGGCACCATTCAAGGAAACCCCTGGCCTTCACGATCATCCATCACTTTCGCTGTACCACAGTGGACATGTGATCGATCCTGACCATCCTAGAAAACCCGACCAAAAGATGCAGGACGTTGTCGAAGAGTGTTGGCTCAGGGCGGTTAACGCGAGTTCCACCTTCCCACCCTTCTCTGTCGCTTAGGACCCCAAAGGGCTCTGAAGCCTACAGTCTACAAGCGCAGCAAGAGAAACTGTACTGGGTAGCTACCTCGGCCCATTGAAATTAGGGCTAGTGGGTTCACTAGGCCGTTGCCAGGCCGGCCATCCAGGCTTCTGCCTGGCGCCTATTGTATTGCCTATGGTAATATGCCTAAGGCCTCAGCACCTCTCACCCACATCATTGCAGACGCCTAGATAGAGGGGCCAGACGATCAACCAAGACAGCCATGTTCTTTCTCAACTGATCAACCCTACGTGACAATTTAGCACTTCAATCATTTCCTCACCCATGATCGACGAAAGAAACTAAAGCTCCACGAGCTCGAGAAGAAATTTTAGTGTTGCAGCCTTGGGGAGCTGGCAAGGTGGATTGAAGCGGACAAATAACCAGCCTGTGTCCCAAACAAGGGATGGAAGAAGGCCTTGCACCACATCATTCGCACACTGTACGATTTTGCAACAGTTGGTGATGCTGCTATAGGGCAACAAGCCCATGTGACGGCACTGGTTTGGGGGGCGACTCGTCTATGTTTACAGGTGAGACTCAAATCGCCGCCTTCGATACCACCCCCGAGATGCTTTGCTCTCTGACACCCGACTGTGGCAACTGGAATAGTTGGGTGCCTCCTACGTGCAGTCTCTAGACGACATTGGAGAGGCTCTTGCGAAGATCGTGGGAGACACAGTGTGTTACGAACAAGAACCACGCACCTTCAGGGACCATCAGGAAGTGCTGGATGAGATTGTGGACTACTTTGCGCATGTCCTTGGCTATATTGTCCGCCTCGAGATACATTTTAGTCGAGGCAAAGCAAATCAGGCTCTTCGAGGGAGTGTATCCCGAAAGCTGAGCCGTTGCTTCGCCGAGCTTCAAACTCGACAGAGTCGACTGGATAAGCGGATCAGCTCTATAAGACACCAAGGTGAGATTATCCCTCTGGGGCGTCTTCACTTGCAAACCCTGACGGGCTGCAATGCATGCAGGACAAGTCTTCCATGAGGTCAAGGTTGACAATGAAATAGCCGCGCAAGCAAATTTTCGTCACGGTGAGTCTGAAATTATATACCAACGCTGGCGATAGGTCGCACTTTGTGTGCGTTGTCTCAGCCTCACTGGACGCGGAGATGCGGAGGAGTATGCATGGTCCTAAAGTCAATGATCTGAATGGCCCCAAAGTCGCACAAGTCCACGGCCCAAGACTTGTCGCTAACGTTTGTGGACTATGACGCCAAGAGGTTCGCGCTGCATCCGAAACCTATCTTCGGAAAACTCGAGAACAGGCCGCCATCCTCCAGGACTTCAAAACTGACAATCAACAAACTCGGCATTGTGCGTTATATTCCGCTTCCCTTGGAACTGGACCTGCCCTGGGTGGGGCTGACGGTTTGTAGTGATGCTGGAATTGCAGCACCGTCAAATCCGTGGTAATTTATGCCTGATACGAGGAGATCGAGCTTGTCAAAGACCTAACCACTGACCGCGGTGCATTTGTGTAGATGCCCGCACATTCGACATGCTTCGCAACACGGTGAACTGGCTAGAACTTGCCGCAGGAGCTCCTGAGGCTTCTGCCGTCGACCCGACGCCAGGAACTAGCAAATGGATTTTCTCAGATCCAACATGGAACAAGTGGAAGACTGCAGAGGGCGACTGGGGGCCGCTCTGGATAAAAGCGGATCCCGGTCCAACTTTCCTTTATATCTTTGCGGTTGGCTAATATGCCCTCAAGGCGTAGGAAAGAGGTCCTTGCCCAATCGTTCTCTCGCTCGCTCCAACATGAGACAGTGCTATTCCTTTCCTTAAGCACACAGTATCGCGCAGTCGTGACCAAATCCACCAACTCTTCCTCTCCATGCTTCTGCGAATTTGCACTTCGAGCCTTCTTGATCCAGATCATGATATTGCTCCCTTCCTGGGAAAGCTAACCAATCTTCGCACTGCATTCGGACATGCGAGCGAGTGTGGTACAGAACAGCTGGCTCAAATCATTCTAAATATCATCATCTCACTTCCCCCTATGACTCTAATCATCGATGCTTTAGATCAATGCAGCGAATGCCACGACAGAGATCTTCTTGCACTCACATTATCATCTATCTCGACGAATGCCGACCACTCAGTTATACTGACATCCAGGGAGCTGCCGACCATAGGAAATACATACCTGATCGAATTGACGGCTGCTAAGACAAGTTCTGACATTGAACTCTATGCAAAACAAGAGATCTCGCGATCCCCACAACTACAGAAGATCCAGCACGAGATAGCTTGGGAAGTTTTCTCTGGGTCCATCTACTCTTGAACCATATTCGGCTGGGTCCCAGTCCTCAGACCCGCCGGCGCCGACTAGTAACCTTCCCAACTGCACTTGGACGAGTATACAAAAGGGTCATTAGGGACACTGTTGAAAGATTCGAAGTGTATGATCAAAATAGGCAGACGCTCATTCTCAGGATGCTTGCTGCAGCGCGGTCGTGTCTGACCCTTCAGACCCTATTTCTAATCATTGATGGTGGTGACGATGACGACGAGGTCAGGGTATCCTCGCGCAGCGACGAGGACTTGGCCGGGGATGCCATCGCCCTGTGCTCCTCGCTAGTCCGAGTTCGAGGATCTTGTGTGGGACTCACTCACCGTACCCTCTAGGACTATATTTACGAGGACGAAAGCTCGAAGGATCCCGACCTGTTTCTGGCCAAGAAATGCCTTGAGAAATTGACTGCAAAATGTTCCAGTCTTGGAAGGTTGCTTTATGGCTGCTGCGGAAGCATCTGTTGCCGCCTCACATCCTCACAGACGGTGATGACGACCTACCATTTAAAGAATCAGTGCTTTACGAGTATGCAGTTCTTCATTGGCACGAGCACGTGTCGGCACTTCGAACGCCCCCAGACGATGTCCTTGATTTACTTTCTCGATTTTTACGAGGAATCGAGGGTGTCACTTGGTCAGAAAGCCCCTTCGAGGCAAGACAAAGGAGTGGCATTGCTTCGCAATTGGTGGTTCAAACTCTGCTTAAGGCCTGGTATGACGGCCTCGACGAGGGCACCCAACAGAAGATACCCATCAAAGGCTATTTTATCAAGCCACATGAAAGGCTGCAAAAAGAGTTGGAGGAGAATGCAGAAGAGAACGTGGCCCCTTATCTACCATTCATGCGGCTCGGGCAATTTTTTAATCTTGGAGGCCGGTCGCAGGAGGATTGGCGGAAAGGCTTCATGTACAAGCAGGCGGTGGCGGCGGGATTTGAAAGTAGTCTGAGTGCTCGACATCCTCTAACCCTCCCGACGAAAACAAGCATGCTTCAAGAGTTCTTTTGGCAAAGGCGATTCGAAGAGGCAGAGAAAGAGCTGTCAAAGGTTGAATCCGTACAAAGAGAAATTTACGACCAGGACAGCGTTGATCTTTATATTACTGTTCAATTACCAGGCTATGCACAATACTCTTGTGCAAGATTCGATGAGGCCAAGGTAAGGCTTAGTGAGACTGAGGAGGCTTTTAAACGCTTGGAGGGTGGAAATTCCATGAATGGTCTGGTGACGAGACTTTATCAAGGGTACGTGCAAAACAGGGAAACTTGGACGCAGCGCGAACGAATTATGATACAATACTCATTGAATGGTCTCCGATCGGGGGCAATGCCCATCCTCTGTCAATCATGGTGCCAACGACGCTGGGTATGGTTTGCCGTAAATTGGAAGATTATCCAACAGCGGACCAAACTCTGTTGGATGGTTGGAGGCAGGCACGAAGAATTTTCGGCGACGACCTGAATCCGACCGTCGATACTGCCCTGTCTCTAGCTCTCGAATATCGAGACACGGCAGAACTGGGTATAGCCAACAAAACTCTAGAGGCGATCAGATCGTCCAAGAGATTGGCAACCGATTTTCTGTCAGTGACAGTACATCAGGTCCCTGATAGAATTCGACCGTGGATACTATAATCGACCTAGGATGGCTCTTCAAAAGCTCATTGATCAGAGTACCGGTATCAGCGGGGAGAAAAACAACAGGTCGCTGCTCTGGATACGCTTAACACTGGCAACTGTGCTCCGACAACACGAACATCTAGACGAAGCTGCAGCATTGTCCAGCGAGATTGTGGAGCCAATGGATGAGGCAGAGGGACGATTCCCCTTTGTACCGGAACCACCTGAAAGGTTAGCCATTGCGGAACAAGCGTTGCCGCTTGTGCAAAAAACTCGACAAGCTGAGGTTAACACACTTCTCTGTGCAAGCAAGCTCCAATGGGTCCGTGAGAGGGATTTTGATATCTTGCAAGGGGGTCCGATCACCGATATAGATGTTGTTAAGCCGGTTGTGACGATTGCAACTGAATCCTAGGTTAATATTGGACAGCGGGACAGGAAATAATGAGGGGGACCCAAGACTGATTCTTTTTTTTGGCGCTTAGGAAAACATCGGTGTTATATTACAGGGGATTCAGGTGGCTATATCACGTCTTACGATCCCTACTCATTAACGCCGGACCGCTGTAAAACATTGGTGTACTGGGCATTCAATCCGTGTAAAACTGCTTACGGCGCACTCCGAACGAAGCCAGGGGCAATGCTGCCTCTGTGCTAGAACTCGACTTGCGGGGGCTTCAGTAAGCGGTAGTTTGACAGGATGGTTGCCATCTCACCAGTTACAATGTCGTATTCGCGTTATTCTAGGACTAGACTGCACAAGCATTAATCCCGCCAACACTGAGGTACGGGAGTACAAGTCTACAGGGATGGTAGCTACGCGAAAAGTTGCTCGGTAGATGTAGCCTCTCTCCACCACTCGTGGGGAAAGTAAACTAGAGTCATGCAGTCATATTTCGATGACGACGAGGTCACAGAATCAACGATAGACGGTGAGACTGAATGCCTATGACTTCCTGAGTTCCAATGAGATCAACGACCTATTTGGTAATAGAAGACTACAGACACGACGAGCAGGGGCCGCTGGAATGAGGGAAATGTGCGCTCATTCAGATTCTCCATTTCTAACATAGAACCAGGGGCTGGCGGGATGGATTCGATCAGCGAGCGCTATATAGACTTGCTTGTGTTGTTAATGCAATGCAATTGTCTGATTTACGATGTTCGAGATGCCAAGGTTCGGCCACTTTTCAAGCCTTGTTCAGCCCTGTTCAGCCTTGCAAGGTCACGGTCAGACGCGCTACTTTCGTGATTCAACTTCGACATTAGGAGCGAGTAGTCGATATATCTCAATCGACCGTTTCCAACATCAAAGAGCCGATCACAAGCATATCTATATAGATTTCGAACCAAGGGCACCTACATAACCGTCAACACGGCTTCATTGAGACAGCGATCGCACCCGCATATCCCATCAAGGTCGACCGATCTTCACCCAGTCAATTCAGATATTTATCATTCTGCTGGTTTATTTCAATTTTGACCAATGGACATTGACATCTCCGACATTCTCGCGGATGTTTCGCGCTCACAATCCTACTCTACATCCACCTCTCACCAATACTCCTCGAGTGACACAGACGCTTTCTCAGACCACCAACTCCTCACCCGCGCATGGATATCAGAGCGCTGCGCACCCGATCTTCTTCCTTACCCTACAGAACTTATGACGCGTGTGATGGCGCGTGTCCAAGCACAAATATCACGTATCGAAAACCTTGCGGGCGGAATGGGCGATGGTGCCTCGTCACTCTACTCAAATTCAGTGGATGGTATGACCGGTGGAAAGCCAGCTACCAGCACGCAGAATGCCAATCTAGTTCTCGCGATATTGCAGACAGATTTATCAAGGACACAGTTTCTCGTGAGGAGTCTGTTGAGACAACGCCTTGCCAAGATGACCAAGTACGCCACCTACTATCTCTCTCAATATCTAAACTCCGATACGAAGACGTCTACTACTATGTCAACCTCGGAAGTCGCCTTCCTGAGACATCACCAGGCTCTCCTCGGAGAACTGTACGATTCAAGTTTTCTACACTCCCTTCCGACGGGACTGCAGAGGTTGGATGATTCAAGCGGAGGGGTACCCATGATTGAAGGGCCAGATGGCTCAAAGGCTGTTGTTGTGAGATGCTTAAATGAGGGGACGTGGAGCAATGAACGGGATGTTGATGAGACCAGGGATCACGAACAGGATGAAGGCGCTAGCGTCGTGCTGAGGATGAGAAGGGGGGAGGTCTGGGTTGTTCGGTGGAAGGACGTTAGGAAAGGCGTTCAGAGGGGGGAGGTAGAGCTGTTATGAGAAGCAACTTGTTCCTTTTCTGCTGAGATGGCTGGGCTAGAATTAACCGTAAGTAATGTGAAACGATGCCTGACACAAGAAATACCCTCCAAGGTTGAAATCACACGATGGGATTGCGACGAGGCTGGCACCTCTGAGGGACCGGCACGTGATAAGGCTGCAGTGGTCGCCAAGTACCCAGCCTTGTGAAAAGTCAAGCCCCGAATCGGTCGCGTCACAGTCGCAGGCGCGCTCTGCTGAAATCCCTCTGTACGACTCCACTCAACAGGCATTGATCTCCATGGTATTCGATAGCCTTGCTTTGATCGCATCTGTCTCGAGATGAACCCAATGATGAAAGATCCCGCGGCCGGCGTCCCGCCGCAGCTGGTGAGTTCCACAGTCCTTGCAACTCGATTCCTCTCAGCAACTGACTTGTCCACATAGCTGCCTCACCTGCATCTCGTCTCTAGATATCGCTACCCCATCACCAGCAATCCTGCTGTCGATACTATCGTTGGATATCTTCTGGAAGCCCCCAAAATCGTGCGCGACCTGCAGCCAATGCAATGGCAATTCATCGATTGTCCCCCGGACGGCACATTCATCCTCGAGTGGCAGCCGCTCGAATATTTGGGGACAAGCTATGCAAGTGATGGCTTCATCTGGGCAGATGTGGAACATGTCTACAAATCAGAAGTCAGGGGATATGTAGGTGGCCATCTACCTTCTGTAGCGATTGCTAACTCTATCCGCGTAGACTCTGGAAATGTTTCTACAGAGAGCCGGCTTTCGAGCCACGGGCGAAGTTATGGCTACCCACAGCAGACGACGGTATCGGCTGCTTCCTGGAAACCCAGCTCATGGACTCCCAAATCCCGATCCTAGCTTATGGTTGACTCACTACTCGAAAGCCTCTCCGCGCGATCATGTACCGGCGGCTAATATTCCAATCATGCCTCACGTTCACGCCCTTCTCCAACAGCGCCGTATGATTCAGAGCCAAGGACAGCTGCCCCGAAAAGAGTTTATGTTGCACGATCGATCAAATTGGCCCACTATGCACCTTCCTCCGGGAGCGGCGAGAGGAGCTGCTCAAGGCCAAATTCCTCCGGGTGTTGGTCACAGAAGAGGCGCGAGCATTACACAAGATACGACTGTGGAGGAAGAAGAAGATGTTTCTCGTGGTGACTTGCTCGACTTTATGGCTCCTAGAGATATCAGTCGCGTTCGCTACGAGCAGCACCATGAATGGATGGAGGAGCTAATCGAGTCGCCATATCCCACGCTCTCCATCATCCCTAGTGACTTGGGATTTGGCCGGAAAGGCCAGCTTGAAGAGCTGACGAAAGATTTCTTCGATGCCCCTATCTCGGCAACGAGGGAGCCGAGTAATGGACCGCCCCCACGAGTTGGTAAAATGCCTGCTGGGCGAGCCGATGACTTCATCAAGCGCGCCTCTGAAAAGCTTGCCAAAATGCAACAAGAACTGGAAGAAATGAGGAACAGACACGCTAGGAGGATGGAGAAATTGCGCCGGTCCACAACATTGACAGTTGCTGAAAAGAAGTTGCGAACAGTTTCGGATGCGACAGAGAGGCCAAGCATCTCGAAAGACGGGACCAGTGGTGATGGCGACTTTGCACCGCGTGATGCGATTGACGAGATCATGAATACAGTTGAGTCACATATGGGTCAGAAGCTCGCAAAGACCAATACTGTAACGCTGATTTCGAAGGGAGGCTTGGAGGATCGAACCCAGATCGCTGCAGTCCCGGTCGAGCCACCCGCTCCGGTCGTTGCTTCGCCGCAGAAGGCTATCCATCCCCCTGTTACGGCAGAGAGTGTCAGCACTCAACCACAGCTACAACCACAGCCCCAGCCCCAGCTCCAGCCGCAGCCGCAGCCCCAAGCTCTGCAGGCGGCAGCTGCCGGAGAAGAGCCGAAGCCGGAGGAGAAAGACACCACAATAACCACCAGTGAGCAGCAAATCCCTGTGGAGACGGAAACAGGGCCTGCACCACCTGAAGCCCAACCTGTACAGTCTACCGATGTGGAGCAACAGCCTGAAACAGATGCCAACCAGCAAGCCGAAAATCTGCCGCAAATGGACGATATTGGGCCAGACGTGAGTATGGATGGTATGGATGACCAACTCGACACTGCAAATCAGGACGCGGATGAATGGGTCATGATTGGCGAAGAGGGAGGTCAGAACGACATGGAATTTCCAGAAATGTCCAACGAAGGTCAACAAGACGAGAGTCAACCTGCAGCGGAAGGGACCGGGGACAAGCCCAGTGGCCAGAGCACCTCCAATCCGCCACAGCAAGCGCAAGCTCAGCCAACTCCGGATGGAGCGCTGAACACTCCTGATTTCGGTATGGGAGGGGATTTTGACAACGTGGAAGTGGACACAGCTGGGGATGCACTTGCAAGTTACGAGAACGACGAGGAGCTGAATCTGGATGCCTTGGAGGGCTCTGCTTTTGGAGACGCATTCCATCCTGAGGAGGATGAGGAGATCTCGTAGAACGAGGCCGTCCCTCTGTTTCAGGCAGGGAGCTGAGCTGGTGGCTTTCTGGCGTGATTCCTTGACTATATCTTTGACACGCGCCACCTCTTTGATAGAGAAGAGAACTCGACAAAGATGGCGTGGGATGTGTGACCTACCACGGGATACCTGGGTTGACGTTGAACGGCGGTGGTGGTGGACTGCGGGAGCCGCACAGCTGGTGAGAAAATCCCACGTGCATTGCGATTGTGACCTGTAAGATTTATACGAGGGATCGACTGATGCTCCGCTCGAGAGAAATTTCTTTCGCGGGCAATGCGAATCTTTTTCTGGGGCTCCCAAAATCCACGTACATCGTTGATTAGGTTTTCTCGCCATCCCGGCATCGGATAAAACAGACCTCATCGTCGTTTAGCTGCCGTGTACCTGGTGCAGCTGGTGTTGTCCCCCATTTCCGCATTGAGCGAAACCCTGGAACAGGTATTATCCGGACCACCTTCGCTTCAGACAATGTTACGCACGCCATCACCGAGCAGCCTCTATGGCTTGGTTGATATGGGAAGGTATGGGCCGAGTATTTTTGCCGACTCTTCGCTGTTTACATCGCATGCCACTGGCTAACATTGACCGGGACGCCCTCGACAGCAATGGCATCCGGTTCTCCATCACCGACCTCTCACCGTCAACGGCCCGTTGCCTTCCAACTGTCTACCAGGACCGCGAGGGCATTTCATTATTCGACGCCCAATACTCATCCGGCGTCAAGGGCCCCATCCCTCAGGAGACCATTGACTCCGTTTTGTCGTCGCTGACCAAATTCAAAACCGCGTGCGCCGACTTTGGGGTGCCCGAGACCAACATCAGAGTCCTGGCCACAGAAGCCACGAGAAATGCAGAAAACTCGGCCGACTTTCGACAGCAGATCAAGGAGGCCACCGGCTGGGTGGTCGATATGCTGCCGAAGGAGGCTGAAGGGTCGATCGGGGCCATGGGGGTCGCTAGCAGCTTCGCTTCGGTGGAGGGCTTGGTCATGGATCTAGGCGGTATGTTTCCAAGGTTTTGCTATCTTGAAGGCATTCCGATGGCATTGCTGACTGCTGATATCTAGGGGGCAGCACTCAAATAACCTGGATGATTGCAAAAGATGGCCATGTCAAAACCAGTCCAAAAGGCAGCATTTCCTTCCCCTACGGCGCCGCAGCCATGACCAGGAAACTGAGAGAACTCTCCGCGTCCTCACCAGATCGCAGTGCTCATCACAAATCAAAATTCCAGTTAAAACCACCGCAGGAAGAACTGCAAGAGGAGATGAAAGCCCAGTTCCGTCAGGCGTACGACGACCTCGATGTTCCCGAGTCTCTACGACACAAGGCCAAGCACGGAGGTCTGACACTGTATCTCTCCGGCGGCGGCTTTCGAGGTTGGGGCTACCTGTTGATGTCGCAGCACAGGGTGTCGCCCTACCCGATCCCCATCATCAACGGATTCTGCGTCGCGAAGCGCGAGTTTCAACAGACGAGAGAGATCACGGCTCTGGCCGTGGAGGAGTCTGTCTTCAGAATCTCAAAACGCCGGGCCGAACAAGTCCCCGCCGTGGCGTTCTTGATCAATGTCCTGGTCGACGCATTGCCGATGATCCAGCAAGTGCGTTTCTGTCAGGGCGGGGTGCGCGAAGGCTTTCTCTTTGATACGCTCGACGCAGTGACAAAAGCACTCGATCCGTTACCGGCAGCCACAGCACAGTATGGGACATCCTCCGCCGCGGACCTCGCAGCTCTCCTCTGGGACGGGCTCCCTGGCGAGAATCAGCTTGATCGCTCCCTCCCGCCTTCGATCACCCCATCCCTAGTCCGTGCCGTGGCGGACATGATGTACTTGCACCTGCCTCTCCCGAAGGAGACACGCTCGCTCTCTGCCCTGCACGCCCCCATCACCGGCGTCCTCACCTCCGCACATGGCATCTCCCACACTGATCGAGCCATCCTGGCCCTGACGCTCTGCGCGCGGTGGAACGTCGACATCCCGCCTCCACACGAGAACTTCCAGGCGCGGCTCCGCGCAATCCTGACGCACCAGGAAGGGTTCTGGGCAAATTACCTGGGCGCGCTGGCGGCTTTGCTGGGCACGATCTATCCCGCCGGCCACATCGACCCAAAGCATCCACGGGTGAAGTTGTCGGCGCGCTGGGCCGAGGGGCTGGGCAAGAAAGGGCTGAGTCAGGGCGTCGTGCTCGAGTTGAAGTGTCGACATGAGGATCCCATGACGGTTCCCATGGCGTTGAATCCGCTGGTCAATGAGTTGGAGAAGGTGGGAAAGAAGAAGAATCGCGTCGGCGGCGAGCATGGGTTCGGCGTGCCGATTGAGGTCGAAATTGACAGGGTCTTGGTGTAAGTAATGAAATATGTAATGTTTCACAAAACCTTGATGGAGAACTAGCTGGTATGCTGGCCTTATGTCACTAGGTCAAGGGTTTCAGACACGCCCGTCCTCGGAGGAAAGGTATCAGCATGTCCTCTAGGATCGAGGCTCGAGGGATCTCCTCCTAACGTTGGTCTCGCGTGGGCCAGGGCATGTCCCCAATAGGCCCTATCAGTCGCACACAACACATGAACTAAAGTTCGACTAGAGATTTGCAGGCCCCGGGGGGGGGGCAATGTCAAGTGTAAGTCACAACGGATGAGAGGGACCATCGCTTCCTTCTCATACAATCCCGAGTTTCTCGGCGCCTGTCATGGCTTCCCAAAACTCGGCCGGGTCATCGCAGCCCATTTCTTCTGTCAGGACCTCACCTTCCATCCAGCCTTGCACGAAACAAGTCCCCAGAAACCTGTACGCGCCTTCAATCTCCGGGTGATCGCCGAGCAAGACGGGGACGGAACACGTTGGCAGGATCGCCAGGTGAAGCGCTCCACGACTATGACCATCGCCCTCCACCTCGCTGACAAGGTTCGGTATGAGGCTGAGATAACCCTTCTCAGAAACGAACGTGCCTGTCGCGCATGATAGTGCGCACCACTTGGGACGCTTCCTATGACGAGTAGCCGCCTCCAAACCAGGGGACATGCCGAGAACGATTCGGGTCCTGGTCGGGGATCAACCTTGACTTGAACGGTATGCAAGTGTACCCGTGCACGGCCGTGTCCGGGTCTTCATCTTGAAGCATCTCAGGCCTTTCGTCTCTTTCGGCCACGATGCAACGCAGTCGCCGTGTACCATCGCTACCACCGCCTGTGCGACATCGTTGTACCTGGTGATGTTGTTCTTCTCGAAGAAGTCTTTGCAAAATCCAATGAGTCCAAAGACTGCGACGTCGGCCGAAGGGTATTCGGTTTTTGCTGGCTACAACACAATCGACCTTGTCCAGTATGACGCCCATGCAGTGTAGGGTGATGCCTTCGAATTCAAAGTACTTGCTGTCCCCTGGCTCCTGGCGCACATTGCCATCGGCACAATACGCCCTGCCGTCGATATCGTCCAGGACGGATGTCTGGGCCAGCCGGAACTTCTCACGACGGACGAGAGAGCTTGAGAGTGACGGAGTGCTGAAGTCTGGACACCACGAGGATGCCTTTGAATAGAATGCGTGGTGATCGCCAGGCTTCTTGAACTCAGAGGCGGCAATCATATCTAAACTGCCGCTGTGCACGCACCAAGCTTTGATAAAGTCCATGTAAGTCTCCTCGTATGTGCGTGACTAGTCCGCAACATAGTCTAAGCCAGCCCTGTCGCGTGCCACGTTCCATAACGCGAACAATTTGTCGTGCGGGACGGCTGCTTCGAAATCTCGAGCTAGGATTGCAGCCTCCAGGTATCCAGGCGCCGTGTTTCTGATATCGTGCATGATGAATCCATTGCGATTCCTGCCCATGTGGAGCTGGCGAAAAAATACGAGCTTGCGAATGAAAAGCAGCTGGCCCGGGCCAACGCTCTGCAAATCAGGCGTAGAATCCTTCATCTTCTTGACGAGGTCCAGGTCCTGTGATATCATGTCGCTCAGATTGGTTGCGGCCTTCTCGAGGGCTTCAAAGGGGGTGCCGTTTCGCATCCCACAGACAATCACCGGGTTCGAAGCCAAGGCCACCTCCTGGATAACCCATGCTCTCCGAAAATAAGGGCGCATCAGGAACATGTACAAGGCCGCGCAGAATCGAGGGATATCGCCTGGGTCGATCCGATCTGGCTTTCCGACGATGAACTCGTAGTCTGTGTCCATGCGAATGACGGGTTCCTGGAGATGCTCGACAAAGTTCAGGGCAAGCTCGCTGTACCGGTCTTCCTCGCCCACGTCACAGACAACGCAGGCAGCCTGGTCATAAACGGTGGCGATCCGAGGAATCTGGTGGATTTTTTCACTCGTGTCAGATTGATTGATGCAAATAGCGTCTGCCCACACGGTGCAAGCATATGACGAAGACCGCCGCAGTCGACGGAGGGCGCGTTCCAGGTTCTTTCGAATGCGCATCAGTTGGCCCATCACAGTGACCTCGACGCTATCTTGGGTGTCTCCCCAAGTGTACGACAACGCGTGATAGGCCACGTCAGAAGCCAGCGGACTGTGCGCCAAATGGAGCACTAAGGGGGCTTGTTTGTTCTCACTTGGGTCGATCACGATCATGCGGGTTTCGTCGGCCACTGTGTCCAGAGGCACGTATTGGTATGCCTGTGTTGGCTGCTCGTTGGATGGTTTGCTTCCGAGCTTGATTGGATAGACCTTGGGCAACGGCCATTGCTCAGGCAATCCCGGCCACCCCTTCGTCCACTCCATGTATCAGGAGTCAACCACTTTTTCAAACGCTCGTCGATCTAGTAGATCCCGCAGAAACCGCTGCATGTCCACCACCGATTGCGCCGCCTCGTACATCTTGTCCTGGAATTCGCGGGTCCAGTAGCGAGACATTTCGTCCGCGTTGCACTGGTTGACACATATATATCGGATCCAAAGCCTCACAGATCTGTCCGGCCGTCTGAAGTGTCGCAGAAATCTTTCCAGCGCAGCCGAGACAACGAGGCACTTGCCGTTGACGATGATCAGTTCCTCGAGGAGTCGGTACCCTTGGGCGTTCCGGACAGCAACGAAAGGGTCGGCATGGCTTAGCGGCTGAGTCTCGATGTTGCGGCTGACCAGGTCGCTGCCCGGCCCTCCCTTATTATCGTCTCCAGCGGCGTATCGCTCCAGAACGAGAAAGCGGATCTCTTCTTTGTCAAAGTCGAGAGTACCATACTGGAACGGTTCGCCTTGGATTTCGCGAAAGCCTTGATCGTTGACAGCCACTTTCGCGGCTGTCATCCCGCTGTTGAATACTTACGGGATCTTGAGAGAATGTGTCTCTTTCGTGGGGCGACTCAGGCGCATCGTCTAGGTTATGTACAAACCTATCGCAGTCAATGAGGCGGTGCTGGAGCCTAGTCCGACGAGAACCCGAAGAAAACTGAATTATCAAGGGCCAAGGCAACCAGCTCAGTTTGGGGGTCCGTTTTGCAAGCTTCGTTGAGTATATTGTTATCTCGGGCAGCAGCACGAGACAACCTATCCAGGAGGAATCTCGACCAGCTGGGTGGGACTGAGATATGAATTCTGAGACGAAAAAGGTAGGCCCGGTGATATTTCCTAGTTCGTTTCACCAGTTCTCTTCGATTTCTTGAATGACGGTCTTTCGTCTTTTCTCTGCATCAATCACACTCCAGGCTGTATCGTTGCCTCTGGCCCTCAGTGCCCTGCCCAGCAAGGTTGCCAGGCGAATACCCATTGCCCCCCCGATCCTTTCGAACTGAATAATGGCCCACTCTCTCGTCTTCGGTGAGGCATAGTTTTGTGCGGCACACGTATACAACGGCCAGAGAAGCAGCGTCCCGATCATGACCCGCGCGGGTGACGACCCATGAGGATACCCCAGCAGAGGCGGGACACTGGCGCAAATATCAGCCGTGAGTTTCTTGAGGAGCTGTTCGGAAACGAGGCGCTGGCGCTGCTGGTACCAGGCGCTGCCAATTTCACTCGAGTAGCAGGTATCCAAGATGATTTCGTTGGTGAGCATTCGGAGTGTTCGGTAGTTGTTCCATAACAGGGCGACACGGGTTTCGGAGTAGACATGATAGCAACCAAAGAAGACGTCGTCAGGGTGTTCGAAATCGAACACCTCATTGAAAGCGCATGTTATGGGAGTGTACACCGACCAGGTTTCGAGCTCTGAGTCGATGGAGACTGCTTGACGGATGGCTTCGTTGCCGCCAAGGAGACCGTCTTTAATCGAGCAGCGGAGCTGGCAGAGCCGGCCGGAGATCTCGTCCAGTTGGTGTTGCGCTGGTTGATACTCGTCTGCAATAGCCCTGGCAGGTTGCGCCCAGTCTGCCACGATGTGAGGAATCGACATTCTTCTCTGGAGACAATCGATAATCTGAAATGCTTGTTAGACAGCTGGGTCTGTGAGTTTATATTCTCACGCACGATTTGCAGACGTAGATGCATGTGTACGTCCTGAACGGCTATGGGGTGCAACGTGTCTGGTCCTCGAATTGACAGTAGTGCGGTGGCACCCCTGACGTGGCGACTCCAGGTTCTTATTGATTGGGGAGTAGAACAAGTGACCGTCTACCGTAAACCATCAGCCCATATTCTGAGACCCAAAACACTCAACTTACTTCATATAGTGCTAGAAGCAGCACTAAGAGCATGGTTTGATCCTTTTGGATTCGATTTTGGTCGTGGAGGAGAGTGTGTAATCGTTGTATGGTTGAGGAATAGATGTTTTCCGCAGCATGCATCAGGCCAGGGTCATTTCGCAGATTGGAGATTCCGGCAGCGCCGATTGAAATGACCATGCCTGATAGAACCTTGATCTCACTGCTCGGGCCCGAGACTGTGGGCAGGGACACCAGGTGATTGTATGGGGTGGCCAGCTCTTTGAGCACATAGTTGTGGAAGAAAAAGGACATAGCTTGGTCCTCGAGAGATGGAGTGAGGGACATGGGGAGCGAACCCCCATCTATTCTTTCCTCTGACGCACTGGAGGTCCTTTGGCCAGGCGGAATATTCGCCAGTGGCGATGCACACGTCGTGTCGAACGAGAGGTCGAACGAGGAAAAGGCGTCGAAGCTGGACCAGAAGTCAGGGTTGGAAGGAGAGAGTGCTCCATCCTTGTTGCCATGTTTGAATGAGGATGTAGAGGAGTCTGTTTGTGTGCTGCTCAATTCGACGTTTTGAACCTGTGACTCTTGACCCTCGTTGGTGAAGTTGGTAGCACGGCAAGACTCCCATTCCCGTGCCAGCTTCGGATTCCGGCTGGGCGTCTTCATCTTGCTGGCACGACGGACTTTGCTCACAACACGAGTGCTCTCATCGCGGAAGCTGAGCGACAGACTGTCCCTGTAGCCTGGACACGCCGTGCCAATCCTCTTACACAACGAACACTCTGGAAATGCCTCATCGCACTGACCTGATCAGTCGACCATAGTACAGCAGAGTAAGGATACGTTAGGGTGTACAGAAAGCAGTAGCGCAGCAGGAGTCGAGACAATCACTAACTCACCTTTTTCTTTTTGGCTCGACACGCTGCGCAGCCTTTGCTAGGGACTCCGCAGAAGACCATTTGCCGGTAATGGATGATATGATGCTGAGTAGAAGGGGCTAAAAAGTGCAGGGTCTTTGCATCTCTGTAATGCCAGGAGGTTGAGTGTCGGGTCTCTGATACTCGACTTTGCTCGATCTGTCTGGTGTGCCTCGCTACTTCTCTCGAGTCCGGTGAGTCCCTGTAGTATTACGTCTCTATGGGAAAGGTCTGGTCCAGCCGGACCTCCCCACGTAGCCCCGGCTGAGGTTGAGACGATAAGTTGTGGATAGGCACTCGTATCCCTCGTATCTGCTACCCAGTTCAAGTTTGGGGTCGGTGCGCGGGGTCAAGGACGGTCTCAAGGCTATTGCCCTTGATCCTCGGCCCATTGTGCTCTGGAGCGCAAGATCCGATACAGACAAGGAAGAATACCTTTTGCTGCTCCTGACATGCGTATCTTCCAAACGCCGCAAACCGACGCATAAGTATTGCCCTTATTGGTTCAGTCACACTATCATACTCCATAATCGCGCAATGCATTCCTGTTATGAAATAGCGTCAGAAGCCCAGAGTCAAAAAGGGTCAACGATGTACTTGTAGGTACGAGGTAGAAAATCTTCCCCAACCAGTGATGGCTTTACCAGAACGGTGTGGGCGGTCGGACCCTTCAATCCTTTCTCTCGCCTATTTGCTCCTGAAGACCGACTGGGGCGAAGCCCAGAGCACTCATCTCAGCCAGCGTCCAGGACCAAAGATCCTTTGCGAGCTTGGGATCGTTCGCCTGTTTGCTTGCCTTGCCCAGTTTGGTCACAGGCTGGAGATACTCGCCACTCAAGTTCTGCGTGAATTCATCGCTGGCCACCGCGTATATCGAAGTGTAGGCGGCCGTGTCCACTTTGGAGTAAGCCCCGAAGAACTTCAAGATCGGCCAGATTGTCTGGGAGAAGCTAGACCCTGTGGCCCCTGCGGACAGTTTTCTAGAATCACCATGTCAGTGTGGCACGTCGGACACACATAGGTACGCAAGCTGAAACGAGCTGAGCGGAACGACTTACGTGTCTACTGTTCCCGGATGTAAGCTCGCGGTCCAGATGCATCCCCTCTCCGAGCCTCCATATTGCCTATCCAATTCTTTGGCGTGCAGGATGTTTGCAAGCTTGGAAGACCCACAGCGTGACCATGGACCTCCCTTGCCAGTCCGGGTTTGGTTGATGTCGTTGAAATCGATGCCTGATGGCTCGCCGAATATCAAATGGCCGTCTGAACTGACATTCACAATGCGGACAGTGCCCACGGGGCTTGGACGGGAGGTTTCGATGAGTAGCGGCAAGAGGTGAGAGGTGAGCAACCAGTGCGAGAGATAGTTGGTCTGTGATCAAGGCCAGACAGCAACAGTCAGTGTTCTCCTGGCAGAAATCTTGGTAAGAAGCCAACGAACCTGGAACTGCGCCTCGTATCCAGCATCAGAAGACTCCTCGTACGGCGTCGCCATTATCCCTGCGTTGTTGACCAGGCCATGCAGAAGCTTCTCCTTCCTGGACAAAATCCCCGTCATGCTTGTGTCATGGAATGGCATCAATACCTGAAGACATCATCACTCGCCTTATGATCTCCTCCGCCGCCCTCACTACAGTTTTCAAATCCATCATGTCCATCTCGACGAGTTCGACTTTTGCGTCCCCCTTTTCAGCTCTCACTGCTTCTATTGCAATAGCTCCCTTCTCTTCTGATCCAGCTCCGATGTATACTTTTGCATTCTGCCTTGCTAAGCCGAGAACTGTCTGGAAACCACTGAAGACAATTAGTATGTCACCTCTTCATCAAGGGCATCAATCATCTTTACATGCCAGCATTTCCCCCCGTCACGAGGTAAACACGCCCCATCAGGTCTGGGAGGCTTTCTGGTGACCACGACATAGTTGGCCGGACGAAGAGGATGGCCTGGTCGAACTGCAATGGTTATGATAGCTCTTGGCGAAGACACAGTTGTGATTTATGCCAATTTGTATGGAATACAGGGTTGGCTGCAACTGGCATCCATTGCGCGATTTGGTCCGAGTGTAGGGACAAATGGCTAGTCGTGATCCTAGGCTACCATGTTCCATACTATTACAGGTGTTTAGCTTCTGTTCTATATCCACAATGCCTCTCTGTGCATATAGGGCTCCGCTTTGCCTGTCAGTATAGGCATTGCTCTTGAAAAAGCTGGGTGGTCGATCTCGCAATGAGGCGATAATGGAGTATTTGTGACTTGTTGCCCTGCGCGGCTAGATTGACCTTGATCTGTTTCCAGCATGGTGGAGAGCCCGGACACGCATCGAAGTGTACGAGCCGGCGTCAGGCAGAAATGTTCGCAGTCGCGCGTACGCTCCTCTCAAACCTTTGCATTGGTGTAGTGACATGGCGTGTAAAATTTTAAACAACGTCTATCATTAAGAAATCGGGCAGTGACGAGCTCTTGTGGACCCGGCAAAAGACCGTCTAAGCCACGTCTCTGGCAGTCCCTGCCTCTAGAGCACGCCTCTGTGGAGATGTGCTTAGGGATATTGGATACTTTTCTTGCTGAGCTTCTTCCATCTCTTTGTGGGCTCATTTCCTTTTCAATCCAGCTTTGCCAGTCCATTCCAGATTCAGTCTCCCTTAGACTCTGTTCCTGCCGTCTCGCAGCATTGCGTGATGCCACCTGATATTCAATATTCAGAGCACAGGGCTTACACAGGTAAAGGACGTGATTTTGGGGTTGCTTTCAAAAGTCTCCACAAGCAGGATAATACTAGCGACAATCCCCAAGCCACACAGGAACACGGCACCAATGAGGATAAAGGTGTTGAAAAGGTTCATTATGATGTGTTGCTTCAATCCTCGGACCCATCGCTTCATGCCATTGTCATGGCGGACCGTTCTTCCGGTCGTCGGGTCGAAGCTTTCGCCCGGGAGATACGCGTCCTTCTGGGCTGCAAACCCTAACATGAGGATCGGCGGAAATGTATAAGTGAATTGAGTGACACAGGCAGAAGCGATAAGAGCACTGAAATTGGTGATGTTGGGGATCGCTGAGCAAATTACAAATCTTGTATAACATGTCAGTAAAGGCTATGCACCAAGGAACAATTCATCCTTACGCAAGAGTCCAGTAAACTGGGACGAGTACAGCAAATAGTTGTTTGCCTCGTGTGGTAGTGTGCAGGTTTGGGAGACCAAGCAGTTCTTCCCCAATATTCATGTAAAGGACCTTGATACCCACGTTCCCATACCTGAATTCCAGTTAATGTCGATAATGACCGATGAAAGAAATCTCGTACAAGCATGCAAGAATCAGGGACGATGCGACACTCATTGCGTTTGTTGCGGTTTGGAGAACTTTCAGCGAGATTCCCTGGTTAGAGACAAGAACGGCAAATTGGCCCTGATAAGAGTAGACAAATAGCCCTGTGAGAGTGTTGAGTATATATTAATCTATCAAGGAATGATGTCTGTATACCGTAGAAGACATAAAGAGACACTATCAGTGTTTGCGCGCAAAAGAAGGCCTTCCAAAAATCCCACGGGCGCTTCATTTCGGCCATGAACTCGCAGTACCTGACATATTGCTTCAGTATCTGCTCATTGGGGAACAACACCTCGAAGTTCATCACTTACAACATGGCTCCCCCGTAGGAATAGATGCCCTGCATCAAACCCACAATTCGAGTCGAGAGAGTCCCGTCTGCCGGTGTACCGACACTGGTCACTATTGGTCCGGCCTTCACCTGATTCTGTGCCAAGGCGGTGCTGTAGTTTGGTGGGTAAGAAGCTGCGCCAGCCATACTGTCAGAGCCGTTAGAAAATACATCACTAGCTAACCTGGGAAACAGACGTGATGGCCATAATGGCAATGTTGAGCCAGATAGACAGTGTGGCGAGCCACTTGAACTTTTGCAGAGTCCTGATCTGGCCAACAATACAACCTGCTATCGTGAAGATTAAATTGCACACGGCGAAGCAAACGGAGCCAGTTGAAAGTTGAGATATTCCCTGGCCTTGGGCAAGTGTGAGCAAGCCGACGCTGAAGAACAGTTGGAAGCTTTGGAGAACATTCGCGACGTGCCTTGCCCAGCCACCGTAGATTCGATACGCAAGGTCGCCGTAGCTCTGAATCGGGTGTCGGTGAGAATCAAGGTGGAAGAACAACGTCCAGATTTGGTGACCAGTACTGAAGCCAAGTCAGAACTTCCCCCCTAATTTGCAGGGAGGGGGATTTACTATCCCGCAAGTGCCCCAAAAAGGACATAGAGAGTGGATCGAGGAACGTACCCAAGCTGTGAGAGAGCCCATCTGTTTCATATCAGAAATCACGGTGTATGATTGGTGTTGAGGTTTTCTAGCCACCCACGGTACGCTCAATGGTCCAAATAGGTCTGTTGTGATCAGGAAAAAGACAGCACCCCATGTTGCGGTTCTTTTTGCCCGTGCAAGATCCGCCCAGTCTCCATTGAGTACAGCAAGGACGTCCTGAGTGTGCTGGTGTCGATGGTGATGGTGGTGATGGCGAGCAGGATTACTATCCGGCAGGGAGGGTTCGCTTGGATGCTCAAACAACAAGAAAGACGGAAAGTGGAATCTGACATTGGCAGAGCCTCTGGCATCTTGCTAGCTGCTCTCCTCTCTTCGGCTCGAGTCAATTGGGCATAGAACGTATACTCCTCGAACGTAACACTCAGATTCCTACAGCAAACAGTAAGTAATTTAGCTCGATGCTAATCATGTAAAACGATGATCCTCTGAATCTCACATACGGCGCGCTGGGACGGGCGTTATATGATTCCGTCTCTCCCACCTCGGGCGTTATAAGTTTATCATCTCGGTTTTTCTGCTCTTTGACATTCAGAGATGGGCTGTCGCCGGGAGCTTCAATCAGACAGGATGCCATTTTGGACTTTACCTAACGTTTCGGCTCTACTGGTTGCTCAACTAGCAGTGCAGGGGATAAACAAAGTGGTGTGATATCCAGGCTTGTTCCTGGAGAAAAGAACTCAGATATAACGAGACGAGAACCTCGTGGAAGCGCTGGATGAATTTCATCAATCAACGAGGGTTGCACTCTGCGCACCAATCTTTTCGTACTAATATTAGCAAAGGCGCAAAGTATTCCCAATCCGGCCAAGTATCCTACCGTGGCTGACAGCCACAGTGGATCAGGGCACGACGCCGCATACAACCCATATCCCGGGATTGAATCGCGATTAACCGTCAAGCTTGTCAACTGAAACCTTGAAGCTATAGCAAAGGCGGCATAATCAGCTCTATCACGACTGGACAAATCCATTTTCTAAAATTTCCAGCATGATCGGCACCCTATTCGTGCAAGGTGGAGCGAAACGATTTGCCAAGGTGGACAAGGCGAACTCTGCAACGAGCTATATGTTCTCGGACCTCGAAGCCTGGGAAGACGAAGAGTTGTGGCCGGGCTCAGAGGCCGACCGACAGGGAGATCTTGAGAAAAGAGCTGGCACAATGCCGGGTGCACCAAGCGCGCAGAGGTATCCTTTTCCGGCTAGACTGAGATGGATATGGCTACGCTATGCCATGTACGATATCCACCACTCAATTGTCTAGGAATACGGAGCATTGCATGATTTGGTTCGTCGATGCTGCTGTTGTTTGACGGGCCATTTACTGGGAGGTTGGCTGCACACGGGTGGTGAGCGCAATACTTACTTTTCTTCAACGGGTATGAGTATGCGCTGAAGACCCTCGACATTCGTGCTGCTATCGTCAAGAAGAAATAAACGTGATTGTTTCCCAGACAGTTTTCAAAACATCCTGTCTACTTCACTCCTTGACTGGTAAGAATCTGAGGACTACTTTCACATGTTCTATGTGCCGGCTACCCTCTGTTGTGATCGCTATCGCTTATTCGAAACGCCACTATCATGACGAACCGTAGACACCCTCTCAGAGGCCTGACGCCAGACGAAATTAAGCATGCTGCAGCGGTTCTGAAGAAGACTGTGCAGGCAAAAGCAGGAGGCTCTGCAGATAACATCAGATTCCAACACATCACCTTGGACGAACCGCCTAAGGCGCTCCTCTTGCCGTATCTCGATGCTGAGAGCGCAGGCGTAGATCCCTCAAAACGGCCTTGGGTGCCACGATGCGCGAGAGTGACATGGTCTCACGTCCACGAGCGGCAGGACTGTGAGACCGTTGTCAGCTTGGATACTGAGGCAGAAGTAACTCACATCGACCACCAAGCACCACAGCACAATGGCCTTGACAGAGACGAAGTGATTGCTGCTACCATCGTCATTCTCACCGACCCCTCGGTGGTGGCGGAAATCAAGAAGTTTCAGTTGCCTGAAAATGTCGCTGTTCAGTGTGACACCTGGCCGTTCGGCACAGACCTGAGTTCCAAGGAGGATGACCCTAAGCTCATCCAAACAATCCTCTATGCGAGAGCTCCCCACAACCACCCAGAAAGTAATCAATATTCCTTTCCCATCCCCATCTCGCCAGTCTATGACCCATTCCTCAAAAAGGTCGTCCGGATTGATACTGTTGCAACTGGCGGCAAGGAAGACGGCTTGAAGCACAACACTGTGGCCCCCGAAGTTGCTTTAAAGCACTTGGCGGAAAACGAATACCATAGTGACCTCCAAAAAGGAAATCTACGGAAGGACATCAAGCCTCTACTCATCGTACAACCCGAAGGCGTCAGCTTCACGGTCGAGGATGAAACGAAAATATCATGGCAAAAGTGGACTTTCAGGGTTGGCTTCAACTGGAGGGAAGGTATGGCCATCCACGATGTCAGATATGACGGAAGAAAACTCTTCTATCGTCTGAGCATGAGTGAAATGACGGTTCCATACGGTGGTAAGGATTCGTCCTCGGACGTTAATTACGCGCGTCCGTTGCTGATTGCCATTCATCTGCCAGATCCACGATCTCCGCATCATCGCAGACAGGCCTTTGATCTTGGAGACGCGGGGGCTGGTATCACAGCCAACAATCTGTCTCTAGGTTGTGACTGCTTGGGAACCATCCAGTACTTCGACGGATGCTTGAGTGATTCTGCCGGAGAACCATACAAAGCCCCTAACGTCATATGCCTTCATGAGCAGGTTAGCAACATGCTCTTTGCCTTGATGATGATTGCTAACTTCTCTAGGATAATGGAATCGGATGGAAACATACAAACCCACGGACAGACGTGGCGGCTATCACGCGTGCGCGGATATTGGTTGTGCAAAGCATCATTACCGTTGGCAACTATGAGTACATTTTTGCCTGGCACTTTACGCAAAGTGGTGCAGTTGAGTTCGAAACTCGCGCCACAGGCATTCTTGCCACCTCTCTGATCGACAAAGGCAAAACCAGCTTCTGGGGAAATGTCGTTTCCCCAGGTATCCTGGCCGCCAATCATCAACATCTCTTCTGTCTTCGTATCGACCCCATGATTGACGGTCTCGAAAACACCGTCGTCCAGGAAGATACTGTGGCCATACCTTATTCCAGACAAGAGAATCCAAACGGTAACGCTTGGAAAGTTGTCAAGACACCCGTCGAAAGCAGCAGCTTCGCTGACGCTGCCCCACAGAACAACCGTGTCTTCAAGGTCGTCAACGAAAAGAAAATCAATGCCATTTCTGGCAACCCGGTTGGTTTTAGGGTGGTTGCTCAGCCCACTCAACTGCTCATTGCGGATCAGTGCAGCACGGTGCGTCGGCGAGCGCGGTTTGCAGAGCACCATCTGTGGGTGACTAAATATCGCGATGGGGAACTCTACGCAGGTGGGCACAAGACAAATCAGAGCCATGACGAGACCGGGGGGGTCTTTGATGCAGCTTCACGTTCTGAAAATGTCCGCAACACGGATGTCGTCGTGTGGCAAACTTACGGCATGACACACAACCCGCGGGTCGAAGACTATCCTGTGATGCCTGTCGAAATTCTGACCGTCGCGCTGAAGCCTGTGGACTTCTTCGAGAAGAACCCAGCATTGGATGTGCCGCCGAGTATGCAGTCCATCAACAAAAGTGTCCTTGTCGGACAGGCAGATCAGTCGCAACCCGAGACCACCTATTAAACGGTTCAAGATTTCAAGCACATGGAATCCAGCCTCCTTACTTTCATCAAAGGCCATTGGCTGCGGCAGACAAGAATTCCAGAAGCTTCGTACACTTGGCAGATGGGACAATTAGGTTAATACAAAATTACTGAACAGTTGCGTCGCTCACCTTACAGAAAGAGTCCACATTAGTTTCGTTGCGGGCTGCATATGTGTAGCCCATGAAGTTGGTCACATCAAATGCGCCGAAACACCTTGAACGGCCAAGATCCAAGCAAGATCGCCTCCCGAGAGAAATGACGGAATGGAATGGACCAAAATCAGATTGACATAAAACGATCGAGGCCCGGTAGGTTCCCTCCAAAGACGATTTCTCGAATGTCCCCAGGGACGGGGATCAGGACACAGGTAGGTCTCTATTTTCAGGCTTAGCTAGGCTGAGCCAACTTGGAAACAGTCCACTTTTGGGCTCTCACCTTTCCTCGTGTTTATGCAGGTGGGTATACCGATTCACAGGCATCACAATTGTCGATATAGCGTCAAAATTCGACGTTCTCTGTGCAGTTCTGTTTCACGCTTATATTCATAATATTGAAGCGTATCGGACGTATTTTACTACTAAGAGCCTCGGGCACAATTGCTAAATTATAATTTTCGGATTTTTTGCTCGCGACTGTACAGTCACTGAATCAGGCAGCACCCGACTTGGCCGTTTTCTGACTCGCACTACAACTTTGTTTTTTTATGTGTGTAGACGTTCGCAGCCTTATTTCGCTCGAAATCCTCTCGACTTTTCTTAAGTCCTATACCGCCAACGAGTTCTGGTCTTAGATAAAAGCCTTAATTCCAAGCAGAAAGGGGGTCGTATTCTTCCGTGCTGACATTGCGGGATGGAGAAGTTTGAATATCAAGATCTACCCAGCGAGGACCACATCCGCATTATGGAGTTACTTCCAGGTACAAACGATGATCGAATCCAGATCAATCTCGCTTCGGAGCTTCGTCAAGATACTATTGACACATATGTTGCTATATCGTACACTTGGGATAGTCTTCTGGACCCCATTGAGATCATCTGCTGCAACAAACTTATGTTCATTTCAGCCAATCTAGCTGATGCTCTGAGGGCGATTAGAAGTAAGAAGTCCGAGGCTTCACTCCGGCTCTGGGCGGACGCTATATGTATAGATCAAAGGAGTGACAGCGAAGAGAAAAATCATCAAGTCAAGCATATGGGTGAAATTTACAAAAATGCCCAAAAAGTCTTTGTCTGGCTAGGCTCCGACAATGACAGCATTGCAAAGGACTGTTTTGATATGCTGAAGAGCTGGAATCTGTACCTGGACAAACAGTTAGACGTCTACAAGAAGCCTCGGAAAATCCCGCCCCTCGAGCCTCCGCGTCACCTTTGCAACGATGCAAAGCAAGGGGAGAAGCTGACGAAGCTCATGGGGCTCCCTTGGTTTCGACGTGTCTGGGTCCTTCAGGAGGCGGCTCTCGCCCAGGAATGTCAGCTGCATTGGGGCAATCACCACATCAGCCTCGCGGAGCTGATGGAATTCGCCTGCTTTTTTGATGGGCGCCCGGAGATTGCGCGATTGGTGGGTGTTGATGAGTCGACTTTCCAACTTTGGAGGATTGTCTTTTCCTGTGTGTACCGAACGTACGGCAACACGAAATCGTGGAGATCCGACAAGCCTTTGATTAAAGCCTTGAACGAAAAACATAGTCCCCGCTCTGGACTTCTCCTGGATATATTGCAGGTTGGCAAATCATTCTCCGCAACATATGCGGGCGATCACATTTACGCCTTTTTGGGAAATCCTCTAGCCTTCTCTGATGATGGCAAGCTTTTCTTGGAGCCAGACTATAAAAAGGAAGAAGGCGAGATCTGCTTTGATGCCGCGGTCGCGTTCTTGAAGTGTAGACGTGAAGCACGTTATCTTCTTTGTTTTGTGCAGCATAGTTCTGCAGGCGAAGTCACTGGGAGCTGTGGGCCATCATGGATTCCGAGATGGACGAAACCTGTGACAGACCGGACGCCGTGGTTAACGGTCGGAAACCTAGGTCTGTCCTTAAATGCTGGTGGGTCTGTCGATAGGCTGCAATACCGGATCCAGAGCGGTCTCGGTGCCGAGAGGCTTCTGACTGTACATGGACTTGTGTTCGATCAGCTGTCTTGGACATCCGACATTCTCGAGCCCGAAAATTTTGCTGTCCACTCTCGTCAGTGGGATATTAAGCCTCGTACCTCGCAACTGACATGTATTGACGAGTTGTGGAACGCTGCTTTGCTCGCCTACAAACAACTGTCTGTCCCCACGGAGGTGACCGAGAGTAGTCTCTTTTACGAAGACTACAGCTACACTCTTGCCACAGGCTACAGAAATGGCAGCCTTATCAATTTGAGAGACCACCGAAAGTGGTTCAAGGCTTATCTCCGAGCTCTTCGGGGGCCGGGCCGTCCCGGGGACCGCACTGACACCGGTTTACCATCCCGAAGCCAGGCAGATGATGATTCCCGTTACGAGATGAATTTGAAAAATTGTATGAATCAGAGGTTGGCCCTGACGCAACTGGGCCGGTTCGCTTTAGTCCCGCGATTCGCAGAGCCGGGAGATACTTGCTGCGTTTTTCTGGGCATGGTAACGCCGTTTATTGTACGAGAGGCGGAAATGGTCAACGGTGACGGGCACAAACATCATCATCTCGTCGGGGAAGCTTATGTCTATGGTGTTATGCAAGGCGAACTGGTGAACGCGCTCGATCGTGCAGACATTGAGAAGGAGGAAATCGTCTTGACGTAGACAAGGTAGCACCGCTAATTATCTATATATACCCTAGCTCGCTACCCAGTACCTCGTAATACAGTAGATATCCTTTAAGAGCATGCCAAGCCCCTAAGGTCACATATATGCACCAGTAGCACATTTTCCATAACGCAGACACTGAGCTATTTATTGTCGAAATATCACATTTGCTATCTCTAACCATCGGTTCAGCTTCCGACTCACATTTTGTCGCCTCCCACGAACCAGAGCTGGAAATGGGCAAGATCGGCCAGATTGCCGTCGTCAGCGGTGTGATCATTGCTCTCTTGGGTGGTCACTACGGAGCTGTCACAGCGGAGATGCCGCCTTCGGCCAACAAGCTTCCCTCGCACGAATGCTTAGCTCCACGAAGGATAGTCTCAACAAATTCCGTTCCTTCATCCTATGAGTTCAATTGCTTGATTAAAAATCCCGCCCGCCCTTTGACAGCGTGCGACCCGACTCTTTGACTTTTCGACTTCCTGGTTAAACACTGCGACTCGATTCTCCTTTCTCTTTCCGAACTAAACAGGCATTATGCGCATCTTCAAAGCCAAACATGTGGCTCCAACAGGGCTTGTCTCAAATGTGAGCGCAGGATCAGAATCCGCAGCTTCGAACGACGTCGAGAAAGATGGCAGCACGGAGCTCAAAGAGCAGACGGCAACCAGCGTGCGAATAGACCCTGCACTGGAGAAGAGGGTTGTCCGCAAAATTGATCTTCGTGTGACTCCACTGGTTACTTTCTTGTGTACGTCACCCAGTCAATATCTTCTGAGATGTAAAATCTGAGTGGAAATGTTTGGCCTTGGCTCCGCTAGTCAACATGTATCTTGGACAGGACTCTTTTCCTCAGAGCAGGACTTACTCGGGTCTTGACGTGGTCCACCAATTGACAGCTTGCAGTTTTACTTTCGTTTCTCGATCGATCAAATATCGGCAATGCACGTATTGCTGGTATGGAAGAAGACCTCGATCTGACCGGCGATCGATATGACTGGCTGTTGACGATATTCTACATATCATATATTTTGTTCCAATTTCAAGTGTGCCTTGTCGATTTCATCACTCTGAGCTGTCCATAATGCTGACTTTTGCTGCAGGGGTTTATGTGGAAGATAATGTGAGATATGCGGCGATGAATCTGCGGACGGAGTTGACTGATATGTACCAGAAAACCGCATACTTGGGCTTGCCTTATCACTCTTGCTTGGTAAGTTCTTCCCCAGTGCAACCCGCGGAGCCCTTTACCAACGACTTCAGGGGGATTGTTGCAACCTGTCAAGCGGCCACCCAATCATGGGGCGGAGAAATGGCCTTGCGATTCCTGCTCGGTGCCACTGAGGCGGGCTTCGGACCGAGCATTCCTTACCTGCTCAGTTTCTTTTATCTTAGACATGAACATGGTTTTCGGAGCGGGATATTCCTCGCAGCTGCTCCTCTGGCCAATACGTTTGCTGGAACTCTCGCATATGGAATTACGAGTGGCCATCCCCAGATCGCGAAATGGAGATTGCTTTTTCTTGTAGAGGGTATTCCGACCATCCTCGCCGCTCCTATAGCATGGTTCTTCCTTCCTGATAACCCGACAAGCGCCAGGTTCTTGACCGAGGAAGAAAAGGAGGTTGCCAGGGCCAGAGTCATCAGGCAGCATGGTCATCAAGAGGAAGGAAGACATCGCGTCAGTCTGAAGGAGATTGGCCAGACACTCATTGATGCCAAAGCATGGTTTACAGCGGTAAAGTTGTCCGCCACGGGGAGCCAAGTGAAACAAACTGATTGACAGCCCAGTTGATGTACTTTTCTTGCAATGTGTCCTACTCATCGTTACCGGTCTTCTTGCCCACCATTCTCAATCAAATGGGCTTCTCCTCCATCAACGCTCAAGGGCTGTCAGCACCGCCATATTTCATCTCCACCATTGTTACCGTTTTGACATGCTGGATCGCGGACCGAACCCAACAACGAGGACTCATCATCGCCTTCCTGAGCTGCGTGGCCGGCGTCGGATATATCCTGCTCGCAACGTGCACGGCGGTGGCCCCCAGGTACTTTGGGACGTTTCTGTGCGCATCGGGGGTGTTCCCTGCTATTGCTAACATTCTGCCGTGGGTTGTCAATAATCAGGGAAGCGATAGTCGTCGGGGGATGGGAATAGTCCTGCTCAACCTCGTCGGGCAGTGTGGGCCACTTCTCGGGACTAGGATATTTCCTAAATCCCAGGGACCCCGCTACGTGGAAGGGCAGAGTATCTGTGCGGCATTTATGTTCTTCAATGCGTTGCTGGCCTTGTCGTTGAGGATGCTTTTGGTGTGGGAGAACAAGAGATTGGACGGGAAGTACGGATCAACGAGCGACACGAACGTGGAAATGCAGAGGGCGCCGGGCGGCGAGGCTGATACAAATGTGGGCGAAGAAAACTATGGTCAGGCATTCAGATATATCCTCTAGTGGGGGCCTTTATGCTAAATAAAAGGGGCTTCTCACATGATGGAACATTTATAGTCTAGGGAGGGTCTAGTCCAAACATTCACCATGTACCCACCCTAACTTCACCCTTTATATTTTTATTGTGCTCAATCCCTGTCACACAAAGACCCCCTACCACGACTAGGGCGATCCCTTGTCCGCCGATACCTCCACCCAGTCTAGGCCCTGTCAGGTCGAACTAACACCGAGTTAGCAGGCATCAGGACCTCGATTCGATCCTCCCACGACCGACCGATTCGACTTCAACTGTATAGAATTTCGTAGTATAACCGGCCGAGAAAAACCAGCCCGCAAGGGTGAGTTTCTATTATCACAGACCAGAAGTTGACTGTTCTGTGTTAAGTTTTTGCACCGTTTCATTTTCGATTTGGTGGGTGAGGTCGTGGGAAGGACTATAGTGTGAACAACTGCCGCCAAGGGGTAGGCATTTCCAAGACGGCGTTGGTGGTAGGTCGACACCCACTTCCACCCTGGGCCTTTGGCAAGCACGCACTCCAATCCGTACTATGTTCTCGCCTGGCCAAGAACCGTCCCCCACAATCATGCAGTTCTCTTGTCAAGTCGCTTTTCAGCTGCCGACCTTAAGCCTCAATTTGATGTGCTCGCTCCATTGGAAAATTGGACTTGATATGGACCTGTTTACAGACTAGCGCCGAGTCGACGAGCGGCATGAGCCATGACGTCATTGGGAGCTCTAACAAGGTTATCTCCGAGATTAACTCCAGCGGGGCGCGTTGCATCGCGCCTGGATGGCCTCCCTTCCGAAGCTCTTTAGCTCAAATGCCTTTGTGTATCGATGGTCAATCCCCCGCTTGTCGATGGCCAGTCGTTGTTGAATTATGGTGGCCAGGAGCAATTGCGTGGCAGCCTGCCGATGCGATTTCGGACCTGGATCTGCCGGATCGGGATCCGGCCTCGAAACGACTGCCCCTCCTACCCTCTTTTCCCCATTGACTCTCCTAGCTAAGTTCTGTCCAGTGTGCAGTGCGCCGTGCGGATTGGTGACATTGGTGGCATGTCCTGCGGCTTACATAGCGACATCCATCGCCGAATCTGCGGAGCATCCATCCCACCCTCTAGGATTGCGTGCTGGTATAAAGCACCTCCCCCTCTCTTCCTTCAGGCTACCGGCAACGCGTCTCCTCCCCCCCTCCGGCATATCAGAACCAGAATCAGGCTCAAACGTCTACGCTCAACCCCTCCAGCTCAATCCCCAAAGATGGCCTCTAATCCTCCCGGCTCCTGCTGCTACAAAGGCGTTAAGCACGAAGGAACTCCTACCGGCGAGTTCTCTCAACTGGGTGATTTCGAGATCTACACGAAGTACCCTGAAAGCAAGAGCACTGAATATGGTATTCTTGTGTATGTTCCCCGTCTCTCTGCTACCTCTCTGGATTCCACATCCATTCAATACCCTCCGATTCATCTCCGTTCCACGGAACTGACCGATGTGCCCTCTTCTCCTTAGCATCACCGACGTGATCGGCCACCGCTTCAACAATGCCCAACTGATCGCGGACCAATTGGCCGCCAACGGCTACTTCGTCATGATGCCTGATCTCTTCGACAAGGATCCTATCCCTCTTAACCGCCCTGGTGACTTCGATATCATGAAGTGGTTGAAAGGCGAATATCATCCCAAGAAGACGGCTCATTTGCCCCCCACCGTGGACCCCATCATTGACGCATGCATTATCGAGATGAGGACAAAATACGGATGCAAGGTAAGGCATTTTTCCATTGAAGAGAAAGACAGATAGGTAGAGGTGCGAAGGGAGGAGGGCCTTCCGTCGTAGGAAATGGAAATGGACATCTATCATAGAACGAGTGCTAATCTCAAACGTTATAGAAAATCGGTGCCGTCGGCTACTGCTTCGGCGCCAAATACGTCGTCCGACACCTTCGGCCGGACTCTGGCAAGTTCGACGCCGGCTATTGCGCACATCCGTCCTTCGTCGAGGCCGATGAGCTCCGCGATATGAAGGGCCCTCTAGCCATCGCTGCCGCCGAAACTGACCACATCTTCCCTCCCGAGAAGCGTCACGAAAGCGAGGTCATCCTCAAGGAGACGGGTCTGCCCTACCAGATCAACCTGTACAGCGGCGTGGAGCATGGCTTTGCCGTAAGAGGAGATTTGAACAGCAGGGTCCATGTGTACGCCAAGGAAAATGCGTTTGTGTTTGCGGTCCAGTGGTTCGAGGAGCATCTGAGGGGCGGAAAGTAAGTCGACTTCACTTTGCTTGGGGCGTTGTGGTGGTGGAGGTTGTGCCAACGGTGGTTGTTGTGAACTTGTTGTTGCCCCGTGGAGACCACGCGTGATTGCGGCAGACCGCAGTCGTGGTGAGTGTCATGTTTACAGTTTTCCACATTTACACTTGCATCTACAGTTGCACTTTGCACTTGTACCTTATATTTTGGTGATGGGAAATGCTCGATGAGGCCGCTACAAATGCCTATGCTATTGCTGACGGTTTTGTCTTCCGGGTCGTAAGCAGAGACACGGCGAGGTTGTGAATCTAACCCGGGATCTGCGAAACGGAAAAGGCGTGACGGGACGCCCCTCGTGCGGTGTGGGCTAGGTGGGCTAGGCGAGCCTCCTTGACGATGGAGTATAGGATCCCAAGTCGGTAGGTGGGCCGCTAAACAGGCAAATATTTAGATGACTATTGGGGATATAAGATGACTATAATATACACACCAGTTAATCCTATACGGAACGTGTGTTAGCACCAACCGTACCGTACGCGCACACCGAGCTCCAGACCATGTTAGATCAGATCGGATTATGTACCTAGGTACCTAGGTACCTACATAGCTATTACTTCCTTCTTGTCAGTACCTAGGTGAGTCAGGAAGAGATCCTGGTATTCCTGACTGACTCTTTGAGAGGTCTTGGTCTTTCCCTGTCCACCTTGGTGGCGAACGGCACGAACCGTCCGCCAACTCTTCTTCAGACATGGCCTGGCATGACTTGACGTCGAGAAAGGAGCAAGCACCAGCGGAGGAAACAAAGATCTGAATCTCGGGCTCACTTCATTTAATGCCTTTGGGGGGGTGTGGAAAGTAAAAAGTCATTTTCTTTTGATCGTCTGCTCTAACTAGATATCCTGGGATCCTAGCTGGAGCCCTAACTGTCTCCCTCTCGCTGGCTCTCCGACTCACATTCGCTGTAAAAGAGAGTGGCCTTCCATTTCACTTGTCCAAGGCAGTTAGTTGCCCGCTTCGCTCTTGCCGCCTGCCTCGTTACGATGTCCTCGCCTTGCGCTCTCGGTTCTGGCCCCGGCCCTGGACCAAGCTCTGCTCCTGAGTCCGGTATCCTGATTAGCCGAAGAGAAGAATACACTGAAGAAGCACGGAAGATATATTCGCCCTCTTGCCCAACGATCAAAATCAAAACCGCCGTAGCCTTGGCAAGGTAACCGGCGGATGTCTGTATTTAGACACCCATCTTCTCCGCCGTTCGCATGAGGGCACCTAATGGGTGGCCAAGTTAGAAGTCTATTTTACCGCACTCAAGGAAGGATGTGTGCATGACTAGGGGAACTCACCGACGAAAGTGGTAACCAATCTCGCGCGTCCTTGGACGATATCATCGGGGAGCAGGTAAATGGTAGATCCTATCCGCATCATCTCTTGTTAGCATGTGACAAGCCCTGACACGCTTCAACCAGCAGAATTTTGGCGAATGCAAAGGGACCAGGCAAAGGAAGCAGAGAATACGTACCCATCTTTCTGGCAATGCTAATACTCAACTTGGCATTGGCATAGGCATCATCTGGCGTCTTCCCAGGGGTGACAAGATCGTAGTCCACATAGTTCGCTTTCATACCATTCAACACGTCCAGCAAGAAGATACCGCTCGTAATGGCGGGGTCCTTGAACGATCTTACAGAAGACGTTTTGCCGCCCTTGCGGGACATCTCGTTGGCCCATTTCATCATGTCGGAATCACTGAGATCGCGTTTACCCATGCGTTGCGCAAGGCCAGAGAGGGTCGACACGATATCCCGGCGCATGAGCTGCCACACCAATCCCAAAGTCAAGGTGCGCTGGCCGTCAGTAATATCTGCACCTTGGATGCCCACCAGGGAGAAGCGGTTCTGCTTGCCCAGTTCAACGGCGTAGTTTGTATTTTCAACCATTTTAAATCGGGACATTTCACCGCCGTGCGCGGGCGGCTTGTTCACATGACGGAAATTGACGCTGCCTGGGATGACCTTTTCGTAGGCTTGGAGCAGTATAGTTCCGTCGCGCAGATCATCAAAGAAAGAGTTGACGGGTGGCTGGACGTCAAGGCTGTTGAGCCAGAGGGTGAAGACGCGGGCTTCACGCTCTCCTTCTGCGTCGAAGTCTTCAATCTCGGGTTTCTCGCCTTCCTCGAGCGGATCGAGACCTGGGTGGGTGTTGAAGAGGTTGGCAACAAAGGCCAAGTTGAGCTTCGGGTTTCCTGCCACCAAGGCAGTTGGCGTCAGGAATTTTCGGCAGTCAATCCTTTCGGCATTCTGAAGGACTTCTTCGGCGCGCTGTAGAAGATCCCGTGTCTGCAAGGGAGCCCTTGAGCAGATGTCTGGTTTCAGCTGGTTGAGCAGGACGGTATAGTTCTCGCCGTCCTTGACATCGCCAGAAAAGTTTGCCACTCTTCGTGGCCAGTTGGCGTTCTTGAGATGGTAATTGAACCAACGAAGCAAGATCTGTTCGGGTGGTAGTCGGAGGAATTGGTCAAGGGTCTCATCTTCTTCCAGAAGTCGGTAGAGCTCGGGATGCAGCTTGATGTCAATCTTGCCCAAAAGACCCCGTCGAATGATTTGCCAGATCAGACCCAAGATCAGATGCTCTCGAACCTCGATGATATCGCCGGCACCAACATTGACCACGGAACAGCCGATCCCCTTGGCGGACTCAATGACAATGTTGTTGTTCTCCGTCATGTGGAATGCATTGAGGGATTTGATCTTCTTCCCCGGCTTATTCAGGACACGTTCGTCGATAGTATCCGGCACACTGTCATTGATAAGTTTTGAGAGTACCAAGCCATCCTTGCAGTGGTCGAACATCTCAAAAGTATCGGTAGGGAAGGGCAAAAGATGGCCGATGTCGGGATCGCCGGCAAGGACCGCGTTGATGTGGGTGGTGAACGCAGTCCGCTCTTCCTCATTGATAGTGTGCGTAACGTTGGCAGAAGAGCCTTGGACGTGAATCTTTCCACCTCCGCCCAGGCTGGGTTTAGAAGCATGCGCAGGGGAGGAAGGAAGACCATTGCCAGCCGCAGGTCTCTGGGCGCCAACTGACACGCGTCTTTGAGCAGGAGAGGACTCGCGGACCTTTGCGATCAGGTCGACATAGTCCTCTAGCTCCACCCGCCTTGAGCTGTCGAGTTCCACCTCTTTCAGCGCCTGTCTGACCACGTCGTAGGATTGTCTTTCGGACTGCTGCGTGGCCTTGATGACGGTGGCTTCGTCAAGGTAGCCCTTGTCGTCAACATCGAGCTTACGGAAGGCATCCTGCAGCTGGAAGATCTCGTTTTGTGGGAACTGGGGATATTTGCGCTGAAGTTTGAGGATGGCCGCCATGGTGCAAGGAGGGGGGAGGGGCAGTTGCCCGCAAAACCAAAATCTCGAGTAAGCTGAATACAGTCAAAGGAGAGGGAGGGACAAGGTGAGGACGAAGATGACCCAAGGAAGAATGAGATTGAAGAGGAAGATATGGAAGATGTCTTTATTGTGGTGCCTGGTCAAGCGTCGCAAGCTGTGGTGGTCTCAGCAATGGCAATGATACAGTAGTGACAGTGGCGGCGATGGCAGTAAGCGGGATTGATTGGGCATCCTCGCACCCTCACAACGAGAGGGACTGCCACCACTGCGGGCTTCAAGGGCTCCCAATGACGCAGCAGTGGCGCAGCGGAGGGCAGTTTTCTTAGTCACGCATAACATCACTAGGGACTGCTAATAGGGAATCCTCAAGGCTGCAGAGCACCAAACGGGGCTAGCGCGGGGCTTGGCAAGGCTGCCTTTATGTCTGGTGGGCAAAGCTGCGAGCTGGTCTTTCTTCCCATACTTCACGGCCGGACTTCATTGCTTCACCCCCATCAACCTCATATCATTTTCGACCCGGGCTTCATCCGACAGAGTGTCCTATCCCGTATCATCATCATACATACCGCACACCCTACTCTCAGACCCATCCTGGTGCCTTTGTCCCTATCAAGCGCCTCTTTTGACTGCTAACCACCAAGCCGTCCAATTATATGCCATCATATTGGATCGGTTCCCAGCCTTGATCAGGGCTGCCCGCAGGGGCATGGCCGAAGGAGCCAACAAGTCCTCTCTGGCGAGTTCAATTTTCTCCTGGTCTAGAAGCAGTACCCCTCCGCCCAAATCACCGCTACCGAAAACTAACGATGCGTCACCCGCTCTTCGACAGTCCTCAGGCCTTGACCATACCGTCAGTCTGGGGCCTTCTCCAAGTCTCCGGAGATACCCCAAGGATTGTCCCCCTCTCAAGCCAAGATGGCACTATGCTGTCGATGTAGCCAAACGGAAACCGTTTGCCCCGGACCCTGCACCTGAAGAAAAGGCCAAACCTCCACCAGTCCCAAAGAAATTGGTGGCTTTCTCGGCGTCAGACTCCCAAAGCATAGAGAAAGCATATCAAACTCTTGCTCAAAGAAACCCAAGCAGAGACGGAGGTACCGAGCCTCCCACCAACACTACAGTAGCGGTCAACGAAGACTTTTTGTATGATGTCGATATTGAGAAGCGTGAACTTCTTCCTGCCTACTGGCTAGGCCCTGTCTACGAAGTCCGCAGAGGTACCTGGTTCTATGCAGAAAACCCACTGAAGCCTTGCGACGAGAATCTAGCCAATCAGCTCGAGGAAGGCTATATCAAAGTTGCACCGTGGAGACGGTTAAATCTGCAATCTCCGCGGTCTGCTTCACAACCTAGGACTCGACCCAACTCGGCAATTATTGACGGCTCATCCACTCAATCGCTGAGTAAATCGCCCGCCTCGCAGGATGACGGTCAACCTCCAGGCCCAAACACGTATCGCTTGTTCGGAACTCACATGAATACAACTGTCACATATCAGGACGACACTGTGGCCTACCTGACAACGGATGACTTTCTTTCTCGCGTCAGTAGCACAGTCTACGGTAGGTTTATTGGATATGGTGGCACGAAGGTAGTTCGGGGATGGTCAGATACGAAGCTTGCCGATCCGCCCAAGGTCGATCAGAAAGAGGAATCTAAATCCACAGAGGCGACAAGTACCAAAGAGAAGCGTAGGTCGACCAAAATCCCGCCAGAGGTTACTTCGAGTGCCGGTGAAGAGAACATCCAGGCAAAGAAGAAAGACAATGTTGAGAAACCGCGGCGGACGGCGTTAGAGCGCCAGATCTCGTCTTTGGCGGGCCTTCCCAAGGCTGACGACTCCGACGACTTAGGCGAAGAGGAAGAAGCCAGGGAACAGGAAGAACGCGAAATGGAAGACGCCAGGGAAAGAGATGGAGAAGATCAAGCAAGACAGATTGACCATTTGGTCCTCGTGACCCACGGAATCGGTCAACGTCTTGGTCTTCGGCTTGACAGCATCAACTTTGTCCATGATGTCAACACTCTGCGCAAGACCATGAAAGCGGTGTACAAATCGGCTCCTGACTTACAGACGCTAAGCGGGGATCCTAAGAACTGCAAAGTCCAAGTGCTGCCGATCTGTTGGCGGCACAAGCTCGATTTCCCCAAGCAGAGTCTGAAGCAAAACCGCAAAGAATATGATATTGGAGATGTCGATGCCTTGTTCGATGATGATTATCCTTCATTGCAAGATATCACTGTGGATGGCGTACCGGCGGTGCGCAACCTGATTACCGATTTGGCTCTGGATGTCCTTTTATACCAAAGTGCCTACAGAGAACACATCGCATCCATCGTACAAAAGGAGGCTAATCGAGTTTACCGGCTCTTCAAGGAACGGACGGGCTTCTCAGGAAAAGTTAGCTTCTGTGGCCATTCTCTGGGGAGCGCAATATGCTTTGATCTCCTTTGCAGACAAGAAGAAGATCTAAAAACACGACCGAGACGAGTCTCCAGCAAAACGTCACGAGAGCACGGTATCGAGCAAAATGATCTTCGTCTCGATTTTGAGGTGGAGAACTTCTTCGCCCTTGGTTCGCCGGTTGGTCTCTTTCAGATGCTCAAAGGGAGGATGATCGCTGCTCGGCCTTCTCCCGGTGCCAGCGCATTTGGGGCCACTGTCGCGCCGATATCTCCATTCGACCCGGATCCCATGAGAAACGACCCCTTCGAAAGTGTCGCTTCGAAATTAACCACCGGCAACAGCCCCACGGGTCTGATACCAATTACTACGTCTTCACCCAAATGCAACGAATTATTCAACATTTTCCATCCCACAGACCCTATCGCTTACCGTATGGAACCACTCATTTCACCGGCTATGGCACAGTTGAAATCCCAACCGATACCCTACACTAAGAAAAACCTCTTCGCCGCTCCTGGTATTTCAAACATTTCTGGACTGGTCAGCCAGCAGATCATATCGAGTTGGTACAATCTTACCTCGGGTATGGCATCCAGCCTGATTAATAGAAGCCTGGGCATTACTGGTGAAGAGCAAGCCTTGTCTCGGGACAAGGCCAAGGCCGTAACGGCGGCCAAAGAAGCTAGCCAAACAAATCCTCAACTCGACATACCTGTTGCGGACGAGCAAAAGCAGCAAGAACTCGCCGAGGCAGCCAAATCATCCCCATCAACAGAACAAGCACCAACTCTTATCGACTCTGAAATGGAAACACTCTATGCAGGTTTCCAGAAGCGTCAGGCTGCCACCGACGCACTCGACGACGAAGCTCAAGCACGAACTTCTACGGAGTTTCGGCAATCGCAAGAGAGGGCGAGGAAACTCAAGCGTGAAGAGGCCAAAGTACGAGCGTTGAACAGTAACGGACGAGTCGATTACCATATCCAAGAAGGCCTATTTGATGTGTCTCTGCTCGCTAGTATCGCAAGTCACTTGAGTTATTGGGCGGATGAGGATGTAAATCACTTCATCATTGGACAAATGTTGAAAACCAAAGGCAGGGTGAGCGAGAGAGGGAGAGGGATGGAGGATTCGTGGTGATCGGAACGACTCTTTGGACAGTATGGGTGGTTCAAGTGTTGTTTTCCCCTGAGGCACACCCTGAACTTGAGACGGCTTTCTGGATCAGTTTGGAACACGAGTCACGTCGCATTGTCTCTTCTTCATAATGATATCCCCTATAGATCAATCACATCTGTACTTTGTATCACACTGCGCCTATCCGCCACCGGAACATAAGACATACATCATAGTCTAAACTCTGTGGTCTGCTTTATCCTATGCCTTCCCTATCACCAACCCCGTTCCTCACTCCTTCTCAAGAACCCTCTCCACCTCCTCCCTCCCGCCGTGCTCAATCTGCACGGCGCCGCCGCCTACTTTCTCCACGTCCCTGTGCCCATTCCCCTCTCCGCCGTCCACGTCCGTCGCGGTCTCCTCGCCGCGCCGGTCCAAGCCGACATCGGACTCACCGATCGCGTCGGCGGGGATGCGGTAGTATGGCACGAAGTTGACGCACAGGGCGTAGGTCCAACTCGCGATGAAGAAGCACACGGGGACGACCAGCGCGAAGGGCGTGCTGTTGCGCCAGTCGGCGGTCGCGCCCAGGAGGGGCGGCACTGCAGCGCCACCTGAGACGCCTCCTGTTGATCGGTGCTTATGGTTAGCAGCGTGCGTCGGTGGATAAAGGCAGGAAACAAGAACACCGAAGGCAGGATTGGATGGAGGGAAGGGGAAATGAATAGGCGGAACGGGGATTCTATTCCCGTTCCATCCTGTAGAAAGGAGTAGTAGTAGGGTAGATTTTCTCTTGAACGTACCGACAATCCAGCCCGCCGCGCGCTTGGTATGTCTGCCCTGTCCTCTAATCCCCAGCGCGACGATGGTAGGGAAACATACACTCTCAAAAAACAAGGTCAGCATGAACATGGCAATCCCCGTATTTCTCCGCTCCGTGATGGCCGCGGAGCAGAACGCGATCACGGCCGTCAGGTAGAACAGGAAGATGTAGCGCGGGCGGATAAACCGCATCAGGAACGAGCCTGAGAAGCGGCCCACGGCGAAACATCCTTGCGCGCCCGCGAGCAAAGCCGCACCCGTAGAATTCGATATCGGGGCGATCTCGGTGAAGTAGTTTATCGCGTATCTGTTAGGCAAAGAAGGAAAGTTAGTATTAGAAAGGGGATAAAGCGGGTGCGTCAAAGGGGACCAGAGAGATGTGCTGTGCTTATTCGCCATTCGTTGTTGAACGTAACGTACCCTGCCAAAGCAACCTGAGACCCGACGTAGCAGAATTGAGAGAATGCCGCGTGGAAGACGGTCTATTTGACATGAGGCAGACTTTGTTAGCTAGAGCACAACATAATGTAACAGCAACAGAATCCAGGGATTACGAGTCGGCAGGTGGAGAATATCCGCTATGACTGGCCTTTTTTCTCTCTCGCCACGTCTTCCTCGACAAGGGCAAGCCTCG